TCAGAAATCAGAGCTGACTGGTACAGGAGTAGATTGCCCCTCCTTCTCCAGCAGAGCATCTAGTGGATTTGAACTGCATACCTCTGGGATTGCAGTGCAGCTTCTTACCACTAGGCCACCAGAGCTCCCTCCAACCATAGATTTTTAAAGCCTCTCTCCCTCCCACTTTTCTTTCCCCAGTTAATTCACCTGGAGATCAAACCCGCCATCCGGAACCAGATCATAAGAGAGCTGCAGGTTCTTCATGAGTGCAACTCCCCATACATCGTGGGCTTCTATGGCGCGTTCTACAGCGACGGCGAGATCAGCATCTGTATGGAGCACATGGTACGTGGCAGCCTTTCAGTCTCTAGAATAGGGGCCCAGGCCACAGCCAGCTCTGGCCTCATCTTTGGTTGAGTGTATAGCTGTCTACCTTCTTGGCTGCTTCCCTGGCTCCACATCACTGCCTTGATTGTGTGGGAAGTCTGACTGTAGAACTTGGAAGAGCCCAAAGATGACAGACTGCCTACCGCCTTTCTAGGTTTCTGCCAACTGGAAATCTTGTATTTCTGGTGAGTGTGTCTAGAGCAAATATTCCAGTTTTCCCCTACCCAGATGGTCCCAAGATTTGTTGTTGTTGTTAAGTACCGTCGGGTTGACTCTTGAGTCATAGGGACCCTAAGAACAACAGATTGAAACCTTGCCTTCTCCTCCACCATCCTCATCATTTCTGCTGGGCTCACATCCACCGAGCAAGATTTGGATGTGGTAAAATTTGGTTCACATAACTTAAATTAATAATTTATAAATTAATAAAATAACAAATAGAGAATTTTTATAGACAGTGCTGTGTGCTTGATACAAAGTTCTGGGGTTTTGAAGGTGAGCCAGGTAGTCCTTGTCCTCAGAGCTTTTATAATCTACTTGAGGGGCAGTCTGAAGGGCTTCTTTGGAGTAGAGAGAAGTAATTCTACCTCATGCACATTGATGAAAGGAAAAAGGCATTTCTGAGTTAACTACGTGTATGAGCTAACAGGGTTTCTACCATTGGCAGCATAGAGACCCTTCTCTTCCCAGGTAATAGTAAAGATGATGGTGATAATGTTGTTACAGTACTGATGATTCAACAACTCATTGCTGTTGAGTCAGAACCAACTCATAGCTGACGCTACAGTGGGTTTTCCGAGGTAGTAAATCACACAGGGAGATTGCCTGTCTTGTTCCCAGGGAAAAACTGGTAGATCTGAACCATCTGCCTTTGGGTTGTCAGTGCAACTCTCCACTAAGCCACTAGAACTTCCTGTACTAATGAAAGCTGATATTATTAAATGTATACTATATTTAGCACTGACCTTAGCAAATTAGTATTTTATTTGTACATCCGTAACTTTATTATTGTTGTATGCTGTCAAGTTGGAGTTGACCTATTGCTGCCCCTCCAGTGGCTTTTCAGAGGTATTCTTACTGCATGGGAGAAAATTGGCCATCTCTCTCCCATGGAGCAGCAGGTAGATTTGAACCAAGTGCCTTTCATATTGCAGCACAGTTTCTTACCCCTAGGCCACCAGAGCTCCCTTATAACTATGCTAGGTGGACATAATATGTTACATTTTTGCTGTTTTGCAAATGAAGAAACTGTGTCTTAGAGAAATTAAATAACTTACTCAAGGATTTGCAGCTAGGAAGTGGTAGTGATAGAATTTTAAATGAGGTTGGATCACCAAGCCTGCACTTCACTGAATCCACCAAATAGTGGTTGAGGGGATTGTGGCTCTCTTTGCATCTGGAACTTCAAAGAGAGTGGATGGCAGTTCTGGTCACTATTTTTTCTGTTAGGCAGTATGACACAGGGAATTTGACATATAAAAGATGTTTATTCACATCTTTCGTCTTAAAAAATAAAAATCTGGGGAGCTCTGGTGGCCTAGTGGCAAGAAGCTGCAACTACAATCCCAGAGGTGCACGGTTCGAATCCACCAGATGCTCTGCCGGGGAAGGAGGGGCAATCTCCTCCTGTACCAGTCAGATCTGATTTGACTGTACACGCACACAAAAGAATAATAAAAAATAAAAAAAAATCTAAGAAGGAACTTCTTTTGTTTATCACCGTGCCTCTGAAACCCTAGTGGCCTGGCCCACAGTCGGCACTCACTGAGTTTTTGTTGCTTGCCTGAGCCATCCTGTTGTGACACGGTCATATTCCTTTACCTTTCTGATTCCGTTTCCTCACCTCATCTGTAAAACGGCCATTGTTTCACCTGCCTAGTGGTTATGAAAACTCATTGCCACAGAGTCAGAACTGACTCACAGTTAACCTTCCACTGGGTTTCTGGGACTTCATGAAGGAGGAGATTGCCTGTTTATCTTTCATGGCGCTAGTGGTGGATTTGAATGACCAGGGAAGTGCGGCCTTTGGGTTAGCAATACAGCTCCCTATAGACTGTGGCACCAGACCCCTGAGGTTGGTGAGGACTAAATAACCAATGTAAATGTGGCACCCTGTCTGACACGGAGTATGTGTTCTGCACTGGGTTCTCCGAGGGGAGGGATCTGCATCTTCGTGGGCTCCATACTTTCAGTGTGGCCTCCTATCCTTTATTCTTCGTCTCCTTCCTGGGGCTCTAGACCTCACTGCCCTCATCCTGAGGCACCTACTGACTGCCACGTGAACCCTCCCCTGGGAGACTTTATTTGTTGGTGCCCCCGTTATTTTGAATGCCTCTTCATTTTAATGATCAAGAAGTGCTGTTCACACTCTCACAGGCATCTGCCGACTTTTGTGGGTGCCATATGGACAGTAGTTTCAGAGAGCATGTGCTGCGTGTCTAAAGGTTACAGAGAAAGCTCTCCTTCCCTCTTGCTTGAAGGAGAGCGGAGCATTCTCAGCACGAAGCATGTGAGCCTGCCTGGCTGGCTCCAAGCCCCTGACCCACTGAGGATGATTTTGTATGCGTCTTGGTCTGCCCTTGGGGTCTGGCCTTATCTTTTGGGTCTTTACTGAATGCTCATGGTGTCTCCTAAATTCACATCTGTGATTTTGTATGAAAATACATTCTGGAGGTTCTGGAAAACTAAAAAGGAAAGATGATGGAGACGATGATAAATGAGTGTTAGGAAAGGCTAGGGTAGCCTTCTTTCCTCTCCAGTCTCGCCAGAATGACAGAAGGTGGGTGGTGGCAGGACGAGACATGATAGCAGCAAGCTTTCATCATCTTGCTACTGCTCGCCAAGCCCTTTGCATATTATGCAGGTTATTGATCACATCAGTTCTGTCACATGAGATGGATTATTGACCCCCGCCCCAACTGGTAGATGCAGGTCCTGGGAGGTTTAGTAATGAGTCCAAGGTCACATGGCCAGTAAATGTCAGAGCAGAACTCTAACCCAATCTGCTCTCTTTAAATTTCACACTCTTCTACTGTGCTGGGCATGTACACTCTCAGCCATTTCTCAGCTCTGCAGTGACCAGACCTTCCCTGAGGCCCTTCTCCATGCTAACATTTTCTGTTCCTGTGGTTTTGATTTTGGGCACTCGGAGCCAGTCATGGTTTACATCAACAGTAATTAATCAGCATGGGTTCTGTTTCACAGACACTTGTAGCTGCTTGTTATGTGCGAGGTGCTGTATGAGCTGCTGAGAGAATACATTATGAGCAGCATCCCTTCCCTCCAGAACTGGTCAGAGGGAACACGACTGTGTTCTGGGACTTCCTTTGCTGGCCCTGCTCCCATGGGGTGGTCCTCTCTTGGCTGGGAATTCAAGGAAGGGGTGTCACTGTAAAGGCTTCGGAGCACCAGCCATATATCATCTCCTGTTTGCCCTCCTCTGAGCCATCAGAACCCCGCCTGAGTTACTTCTAAGTTCTCTACCACCCAAAACTCTCCCTTTTATCAAGAAACCAGGAGACTTTGTGGGTTGAGGGTTTATAATGCTGGTTCCCCTCCCCCCATGCTGTCTTGACACAGTTTTGAGGTCCTGTCTGGAGGCCAGTTTGTTCCCATTGTTGAGCAGCTATTTAAAGTTTACTCTCCAACCACTCTCCTTATAAGGGTTTTTCTTCTCCTGGTCACCTGTCCAATCCCCTGGGGCCAGAAACCTAACAAGTAGAGGCAGTTTCTAGCCCTTTGTCCCTAAACCTGTAGAATTACTCAGAATTCTCAATCCCTTGGAGAACCAAGAAACCTGGCTAGCCCCACCTTCCCTGCCATGCATGAGCCCTCAGTTCCAACTTCTTGTTACTTTGTCCCTGGAAAGCAAACCCTCTGTGACCATACCTTGTGGTATGTCACACCTGCCTGCTCTGGGAACTGAGTATAATCTCTTCTTTTTTATGGCATCCCTCATTCTTGCCTGCACTGTGCTTGAGTTACCACTCTCTCCCTGCCCTCCCACTGCCCCTGAGTCTGTCAGAAGAGCGTGGTTGAACTCTAGGAAGCTCTCGTCAGAGGTTAGGACAAGACTCCAGACATCAGTAGGTGGTCGCTCATTCATTTATTCAGGTCTGCTGAAAAGACGGCTGGCCTCCTGCCACTTAATAAGACAGCTTTTTAATTTGTCTTAAGTTGATGTGTTTCAAGAGCCAAGGACGCTTCCTCTTTATTCTGGGCCCCTTTTTTCATTCTGTGGTCTCCTAGATGTTGATCCTTGTGCCCCCTGCTCTGTCCCTCTATCCTCAAAACGTTTCTCTCCAGGAGAAGTTGAAAAAGGACACTGCAGAGGTTGGCGTCCCATTCTCTTGGCCTATTTCCAGGATCTGGAGGTCAGCCTTTTCCCCCTGAATTTGGCTCTCTGGGAATAATGGAATCCTCCCACACAAGTCCCCAAAACAGAAGAGAACTGCAATTACCCTGGGTAGTCTGAGCCTAGAAAATTGGCTGTCAGAGACTGGAAGGGTAAAAAACTGCTGTGGATCAGGCAGAATGTCTAACACCTGTTAGGTGATATGTGTTAAATGACTAGTGAGGATGACCAGGATGGGGGACGGTGTGGGCAGGCTGGTGCTCAGTGAGAGATTCTGGCCCTGGAGCCAGCAGTGGGGCCTTCTGTGCCTAGGCCTCCATTGGCCCAGAGGAGAACTGGAACAACAGTCTGTGGGTGCAAGTGCAGAGGCCCAGCCACCAGGGGTCTAGACAGGACTTTGTCATAGGAAAAGATTGTGACATGAAAACCAAGTAGCCATGAGCACCAGAGTGACTTTCTGCCCATTCCTTGGTCCCTGAGTGGTCTCTCCTGGGAGCCCTGGTTCTTGGCTACCAAGGATCCATCTCCCTCTTGGGATTTCTTCTCTGCTTCAACCTCCCATTTCAAAAGTGTTGTCTAGAAAGCTCTGCTTGACAGCCATTCC